CACCAGTACCCCCAAGTCCTTCTCGGCAGGGCTGCTCTCAATCCCTTCGTCCCCCAGCCTGGATTGATACTGGGGGTTGCCCCATCCCAGGTGCAGGACCTTGCACTTGGCCTTGTTAAACCTCATGAGGTTGACACAGGCCCACTTCTCCAGCTTGTCCAGGTCCCTCTGGCATGTCGACCGCACCACTCAGCTTGGTGTCATCTGCAAACTTGCTGAGGGTGCACTCGATCCCACTGTCTGTCATTGACGAAGATATTAAACAGTACCGGTCCCAATACGGACCCCTGCGGGACACCATTCATCACCAACCTCCATCTGGGAATGTTTTCAAGAGGGAATGTTTTTCTTCATCTGTGGGTCTCTAGAGGGAGGGAGATGGATCTTTCGCACAGGTCATTAGCCGAATGTGAAAGATGCAGGAGCACATTAGGAAGGAGCACTTGCTGGGCCAGCTGACACTTTGCACGTGCTCCAACCCCTAGTCCTCGCTGCCTTCTCCCCGCAGGTACAGCTGAATGAGAACATCAAGCGCGTCTTCAGCATCTGCAATAACGGCAAGTTCAGCTTCACCTTCTCGTGGGAACTGAGTGGCCCTGCAGCCCGTAAGCAGGTCCTTACCGTCACCCCTCGGATGGGCGCCGTGCAGGCGGAGGGGAAAGCAGAGACCCAGCTGGCTTTTCACCCACAGAAGATGTGCTCTTTGAAGGACGTAGAGCTGACGCTGCAGGTGAGGCACCAGCATTTCATACGGAACCTTTGCCTTCCCTACGCAGCAGCTTGGCAGCAGGAGCCCAGAGCGAGGGGTGAGCTCCATCACTAAAGAGCCTGAACGAGGCAAAGAGGCTCCTGCTGCCGAAATAAAGAGCCTGACAGCTTCTGAACAGAATATTTTAATAAGTGCTTATCCAGGACCACTTTGGGAAGCGCTTTTGTGGCAGGACGTTTCTGGCCCTTTCTGCCCCTAATTTGGGGGGGTCCTGGATGTGCATGGAGATGGAGCTGTTTCTCCTTGCCAGGCCCCTGCTGAGTCGGGTCCCATGGCTCAGAAAGCTCCTGTCAGCAGCATGTGGCGGTACTGCTCAGCACGTGGCTGCACAAAGCAGGGCCATGACTCTCCAAAAACCCTTTCCCTCTCAGCCCAAGCCTTCCACCTTCTGTTTCCATTCTAGGGTCCTTTGGCACCTGCTTTTCCTTATTGTTGCTGCAGCCAGCTGTCCCCCATCCTCTTTCTCAGCCATCTCTGGTGTTTGCAGTTGTAGTTCCCATCTCTTCGGTCGGCTCATGCTGTCTTTCTCCTCACCAGATCAGCAAGGGTCCCACGTTTACCTGCGTGTTTCTTGCCACCGTGGTAGTGCCCACTGTCCGCTTCTCCACCACCAGACTCAACTTTGGAGCCTGCTTCATCTACCATGCTGGGATGCCACCTGCCCGTCAGACCCTCGTCATCACGAACAAGGCAGACAAGGATGTGAGGTAGGCCTTCTCCACGCACTCCTTCGGCCCTTGCTTAGCACGTGCCTGCTCCGTGTCCTCGTGACCCCTGTGGGTGAAATCCTGAGGATGCAGGGAGAGGAAACAGGAGAGCCCTAAGCAGCCCTGATGTTGTCATCTGAGCACACACAGCCTTGTGACACCTCTGCTCCTCTTTGCTGTGCTTTCTGCCAGCTTGAACTGCTCGTTCACCAGCACCACGCACCTGGAGGTGGACTTCCCAGGGTACGTCCTGTGCCCAAGAGGGACAGTGGAGGTGCCCATCACTTTCTATCCCAGAGAGGTTGCGTCTTACCGTGAGCTCATCCCTTTTGAAATCAATGGTCTTTGCCAGCAGACTGTCGAGGTCCGAGGAAGGGGCACAGAAATGAAGGTGAGATGAAATCCAAATCCTAAAACTGCAGGTGGAGGGCAGCCAGCATGGCTTTCTCTCTAATTTTCCTCATCTCTTCCCCAGCCTACCATGTTTTGTTTTTCTGCCACGAGGGTGGCAGAAAACCTTTTCTCCTTTCCTTTCACTTTATATTAATCCCTCCTGCCTCAGGTTGATGTTGTGGAACCACAAGGAAAGGTGGTGAAGCTGGGAGCCCTCTCCGTCGGACAGACCGTGAAGAAGATTGTCACCATAGCAAACAACAGCGCTGCCCCTCTCACTTTTAAGCTCAGTCTCATGTCCGCCATGCCAGAGCTGCAAGAAGCTGGGGTAAGGCCCCTTCCTTCACTGGAGAGCACTTTGGTGTGCCTACAGGGATGCCTGCAGGTAGCTATGAGCTGCTCTGGGTGGGAGCTAGTAACTAATCACAATTGCATGCTGTCCTGTCCTCCCTGCTGGGACTGCTCTACCAGCAGGTACTTGCAATGTGAATGCCTCACCTGAGCTAGGTGTCGGGACTCCCCTAATAGCAGAAGCGAGAAGTAGGCACGATTCCTCTAACCTGTTCTAGACAGGTACGTTAGGATGTGGCCATGTATTTTAGATATGGAAAGGTAAGGGAGATAAACGAATCTTTAAAGGCCAAGAGTTACAGCTGTCTTGGAGCTTACATGAAATTACCGTAGAAGAGGTAGTTCAACTCGCCAAGGCCAGATGGACACATCACAGGAAAACACCTTTGGTACCTAGGAATGCGTATCAGGGAATGAGTGGGATTGGGGCAATGTTGGTGGGGACAGAACAGGAATTGGAAGACTCTTCTCTGACCCTAGCGACGGAGGATTCACAGCTCGATTGCCAGATGAAGTAGTCTCCACTCATTTCTTTGGGCAGGTTCTCTGCTTGAATCCCACCAGCGAACTAAGTCTGAAGCCCAAAGGAGATACCTGTAAAGTAGAGGTGACCTTCTCCCCAAAGTGCCGCATCCAGCCCTTCACCGAAGAAGTGATGTTGGAGTGCAACGGCCTGGTGCGCTCCCTCTTCATGGTGCGGGGCTCCTGCCAGGGCATCCGTGTGAGCTTGGACCAGGAACACCTCAGCTTTGGAGCAGTGGTGCAGCAGAGCTACACATCCCAGCGGATCATCATGCAGAACACGGGCGACATAGGAGTCAAGTAATGCAAAACCCTGTCCTCTCTGAGGGCTGAGAACTTGGGTGAGGGCTGGAGGGAGCTGTAGCTTGCCCAGATAGTTCCCTTCTGCTTTTTCATCCCAGTGGAGAGTTGTGCAGTCAGGCCCTGGAAGTTAGCAAGGAATACAGCCAAAAGCTTGTTTACAGATGGGTGCAGCTGGGTCCTGCCCAACCTGAAGCTTTATTGCCAGGTGGCTCGGCATCATGCCTGAGATCTGGTGGGAAAAGCCCACAAGAGGCTTAGAAACAGCACGCTGTGTTCTCAGCCTCCCAGTTGCTAATCCTTCCTTTCTGTCCTTGTGCTTTCCTTGGCAAGGTTTAAGTGGGACATCGAGAGCTTCAAGCCAGATTTCTCCATCAGCCCCACAAAGGGTTACATCTCCCCAGGAATGGATGTCCCCTTCGTTGTGACCTTCCGTCCCTCTAAGCTGAGCCGTGCTATCCAGTACGAGGGCCTGCAGTGCTTCATCCAGGGCAGTGAGCCGCTCCGGCTTACGCTGGCAGGATGCTGCATGGAGATCCCTGTGACCAGAGAGGTAACCAGAGCAGAGACAGGATGGGGCCCCCCCCTTACCCCACCATTTGCATCACATCTCTCCCAGGGCAGGGACTGGAGGATGTTTACGTGCATAGACTCACTCCTGCCTATCATCCTGCCTGGGTATCCCAGAGAGCTGAGAAAACCACTGGGCAGGATTCCCAAAATTTCTGAGCCCTGTAATTGCCTTCCTCCCATGTTAAAGGTGCTGCTCCTCCAGCGAGCACCTCAGCTGTCCTGGCTCTGCATTGCAGCACCCTTGCCGTGGGGACACCCTGCAGGGCTCTTCGGAGTCTCTGCCCACAGAGCCCCCCAGCTATACCCACAATATTGCGCCCGCAGCCACACTTTTTCTCCCTGTCGGGGCAGGGGGGCGCATTCAGCACTAGGGGTGGGCAAGGCATCTGCATCCAGCTCCTGGGGCACAGGGGTAAGCGTGGAGGACTCCTGGCCCTCACGGGCATTGCAGGAGGGTGCAGCTGGGGCATGTTGACTCTCACTCCCAAAAGAGAGCCCAGAGCTGCTCTTCAGCCTGCCCACGAAGGGGCTGTGTGGCTGCAGGTCTTGTCCTTGCACAGGGGAGAGATCCTTCCAGGACTTGCCGTTTTATTTCTCCCCTCCTTGGGAGGCGGCAGCCCCCTTCACCCAGCATGCAAAAGACTCATTCCTCTCCCTTCTCTAAGAACTCACAACTTGATTTACACCAAAAGCTGTGGCTCAAATGGAAATTTTGCATATGACAAGGAAAAGCTGCTCCCTGTTCGTGGAGCTAGTCAGAGTCTGAGTAGAAAGGATTCCTCGGTATGACCAAGCAGCCTCTGTGCTCCTCTGTTGCAGACACTGACTTTCACATGCGACGTGCGCGAGAAGCACAGCCAGACCGTCCTCCTGTCCAACCCAAGCCATGAGGCCTGGACCGTGCAACCTGTCATTGAGGGGGAACACTGGAAGGGGCCTGAATTTTTCCATCTAGAGGCCAACCAACAAAACAAGCCCTACAAGATCACTTACAAACCCCTAACCATGAGCTCTGAGAACAAGAAGCATCAGGTATGTGAGCTGTGCCAGCATGCTGACCCTCATAGCATGACCCTCATAGTTCACCCAGCTTTGGGCAGGAGGTTGGACGAAATGACCTTCAGAGGTGCCCTACGAACTGAAATTATCTTGTGATCCTATGTTGGAAGCTGGATTTCTCGGTGGCTAGAGGCCAGGTGTAAGGAAAGTTCAGGTGGGAAGTCTGGACTGACCACGAAACGTATTGGAGCAGCTAACCTAAAAAGCCAGGTTGTCTGAAGGTCCAGGAAACGAAATTTGTTCTGTGCAGCTCCTGGTCCCTGCCTGCGCAGCCCAGAGGGGCTCAGAGACCCCCGTGCTCAGCCCTGTGGGCTGCCCAGGCTCCCCGAGCCCTAGGCACGACCCCTTCTGCCAGCACTGCCCTGCGTGGGGTCCTTTTGCAGTGTGCAGGGAACAAGAGGGGCGAAGCTGCCCTGCCATTTCTCAGTGCCCCCCTGGCCACGAGCAGTCAGGTGGGAAACGACACAGGGATCTCTCTTGACGTCACCTTCAGTAACGCAGGAGCTTTGGAAAGAGCCCTTCCTGCCGGTCTCAGGCTGGGCAGGTGGGGTGACTGGCCCCTCTGTTTCCATGGGTGCTGTTTCTGAGACACACCAGGGACAAGCTCTTAAATCGTGGGGGTCAATTCAGAACAGCTCTGGGGCGCTGGGGGTGGGTGTCAGACACCTGCCCCTTGGCCCCCTCCAGCTGATCTTCCATCACGCCAGAATTCAGGCCAGAGCAAGAGTGGAGACCAGAGACTTCTGGGCTCAATCTCCAGGGTGCGGAGCAGATCTGTGTGCCCTGTAGGGTTGCATGTGCTCGGTATCTCTTTAACGTACAGCCTTGCAGGAGGAGTCCTGCAGTTTTCAGCTGCTCTGGAGGTGACCCGTTGGCACCCGAAATGAGTACTGGATATGAGCTTTTCATGGCCCACCCTGGCTGGTGGGACCCTGCTGTGTTAGCTTACAGGCTGCTCTCTCGGCAATTATGCCGGAGCACTGCCGGGGCAGTCGAGCTTAGCGGGGACTGCCGTCCCCTTACCACGGCTGTCCCTGCACGAGCACAGGGCTGGCAGCTGATGCGCCCGAGTTAGTAAGGCAAGTAAAGGGGTGTTAGGATGGTCAGACCGGCTCTGCTGTAGGGCTGGTGTTTCCTTGCTTTGCCCAGACGTGCTGCCTCTGTGTCCCGTGGCTGTGCCAGCCCGAGCGCCTGCGACGTTGCCATCTTCACAGGACACAGGGCTGCGGTCACAGCTCTGCCAGCTGGACCTGCTCAAAGCTGCTCAGGTGACAGCCTGAGGCATGGGACTGTCCAAGTGTGCTCAAGAGCCAATAACTGGTCCTGACAGAGAGGAGGAGAGCTCACTTATCCTATTACTTGTCTTCTAGGGCTCCATCTTCTTCCCATTGCCGGATGGGACAGGCTTGTACTACCTCCTGCAAGGGACTGCTGAGGCCCCAAAGTGTTCGGGGACCATTTTCCGGCAGGTGCCATGTAGGACTTCCTACACTGAGCTCATCCCCGTCTCCAACTGGCTGAACAGACCACAGAGGTGAGTCCAGCCTAGGAAGTCCCGTCCCATCGGCAATCCCTGCAGCAGCGCAAGGAAGGGCTTCCCACTGCCTGGAAGCTCCTTGCTGCAAGCTTTTCACTCTCCTTGGCCATGTCTGGCCATAGGTGTCTGGGATCACACTACCCATGTTCTGCCTGAGCAGACCCATCCTGGAGGGCTTTCCTCCAAGGTGGATGAGAGCTGGCTCCCTCTATGTGGGGCTGTGTTGTACCCTGACATGCCGGGTATTCTATAGGAGTCCTTCCCGTTGACCTTCACTGCATCCTTCTCACCCACAGGTTCGTCGTGGTGGTGGACATACTCAAACCGGAAAACCTGGAAAGCAGTTCCGTGCTGCAGGGGCTGGAATACATTGATGTGCCAGGCTCTGCCAAGAAGGACTACAAGCTCACGTTCCTCTCCTACAAGGAAGGAGTCTTTAACACAATGGTAAGTGGGGACACCAGGCTGCGGGGCCCTTCAAGGAGCTGTTTTCTGACTGAGAAGCTACACGCCTGTATTCATGCCTCCATGTGCCCACTGGTGGGTGTCCTAGGTGGGTACTGAACAGCAGGCACCTCTCTACACACCCCACTCGCGTGTCAGTCTCTCTGTGAGGGTCCCACTGAGGGCTGCTAAGCACAGGCGGGCCAGGACACTGGTGAGCTGGAAGCAATGGGCGATCAGGAGACCATGAAGTGTGGAAATACCACACGTGTTTTCCCCAGTCTTGCAGTCTTCCTAGGTGGCTGCTTACGGCCGTTCTTGGAAGTGGGGGGGCTCTTTGGGCTGGCTTAGCACAGCTGGTATATTTTTATGTGCAGAATGACCAGCGCTTCCCTTTTTCTCTGATTCAGGTGACCTTCCTCAATGAGGTGACCAAGGAGTACTTGTTCTACATGGTGACTTTCAAGGCCACCGCTTCGGGACCCATCGGCACTGTTGAAATGACCACTGCTATTCGTCAGAGTGTGTCTTCCACCGTCAAGGTGGACAACCCTCTGCCCGTCCCAGTGACGTTTGCCATAGATTGCAAAGTGCCCGACGTCAACGTTCCCCCACATTTCACTGTTCCTGCGCAGTCGGAGGTAGGAGCAAAGCTCATCCGGTACTCTCTCCTCTCCTTGCCGTCTTTCTGGGAGCAAGTGGGGGTGATGCCCTACGTGAACCATCTGGGGCTGCTTTCCGAGGGTGACAGCTCCCACCTGCTAATAATCTGGAGGGGAAGCAGTGTGTGAGAATATCCCTAGTAGGAACCACCCTGTGCTGGTGGAGTCTGCCGTGCTACCCCTCGTGATACGCTCCCATCAGGCCTCATGTGGCAGGTCCTTGTGCCACATGCTCCTTATTTAGCGTGGGTGTTTTCAGTTTAGAGTGGCTGCAGGGCATGCCTCACCCCACTGGCAGGCTGTTTGCAGCCTGGATTGATAGGAGGTGTGGTGTGGCCTGGGGGGAGTATAGGAGCATTCTAGGGTGGGAAGCTTCTGGGATTGTGCTGGAGGGCTCTCAGCTGTTGGGGACAGACCCCCAAGGGAACTCTCTCCCACATGTAGCAGGGCTCTGACCCAGAGAGAAAGAGTTGAAGCGAGGGAGGGTGCTGGGCTGCCTTCCAGCACTGCGTGAGCACACCAGGGACCGATTTCCCCTGTCCTGGGCCCTGCCTTCCCCATCTCTGCCTGACCCAGTAGCTTTTCCCTTCGTTCATCCCAGGCCGATCTTGTCTTTGAGTACCAGCCCCTGAAAATGGGTGAGAGCACCGGACGGCTGGTGCTCCAGAGCAGCGACTTGGGCTCTTTCTACTACAACCTGCACCTGAAAGCCACCGCGAGCAGGCCGGAGAAGCCCCTCTACTTCTGCACCACGCTGGGCTCTAGTCAGACCATCACCACCAAAATCACGAATTACACCCGACAGAAGACAGACTACCTCCTCCAGGTGACCCCAGCCTGCCCTGGGCTCTCGCTGGGAGGCAGCTCATCTGGCCAGCATCAGCCCTCTCCGTCGAGGGATCCTGCCCCTCTAGCTTGGCCTGGCCTAGCCAGATGGCCGTGTGAGCCCCGGGGGTCTTCCCACCAACGCTGGGCTTGTCCCCAGCCGCACTGTCCTCACTTGCAGACCCCTCTCTGCTGCCCTTGTTGGAGCTGCTTTTGCAGCTTCCGTGGTGCCTGGACTTCCACCTTCAACCCCAGCTCTGGCAGTAAGGTCTCTTGGGGTTTGGGTGCAGGTTGTCCCTGCTCGGCCTGTTTGGACAGTCCTTACGGCCTTTCGTCGTGGGCACTCACCGGGGGTATGGTGTGGGTGGGAGAGCTGCAGTGACAGGCAAGGGAAAGGGACCCCAGCCAGCATGATGGCAGGGGACCATCGGTTTCCTCACGAGGTGCCGGCTCTGCTTTTGTGACCCGCCCCCCCCCCCCCGTGGTCTCTTCTCTCCCCTCCCCCCCCCCCCCCCCCCGTGGTCTCTTCTCTCCCCTGTTGCAGACCAACTGCGCCGACTTCCAGACGGAGAAAACCATCAGCGTGGCCCCCGCCAGCCCGGGGGGCTCGGAGGTGAGCCTGGAGGTGACCTACGAGCCCTGCCAGCTGGGCGAAGCCAGGGCCACGCTGCAGCTCTCCTCCCCGCTTGGGGGGGAGTACAGCATCCCCCTCTTCGGCCTCGCCCTCCCGCCCAAGCCCCAGGGCCCCTTCCCCATCAAGGCCGGCGGCACCACCTCCATCCCCTTCAAAAACGTCTTCCTGCAGCCCACGGCCTTCCAGTACGCGGTGGAGCACCCGGCCTTCGCCGTCAGGGGCCCCGAGAGCTTGCGCTCCAAGAAGACCACCTTCATCACCGTCTCCTTCGAGGGCGGCCCGGCCCCCGTCACCAGCAGGCTGGTGGTCTCCTGCCCCCGGGC